CAGCGGTCACCTGTGAATCAGCCGGGGTGCTGTAATTGTGAACTCGATGCTCTCGGCACGCTCACCGGTGACCACAAAAATAATGATCAAAGGTAGGACGGCGTGACAATTCGGCCCGTCGCTCAAGCGTGTGCCAATCTCTGCAGAGTAAAATGTCCGTGATGCCACGCGACGGGACGCGACGTCGCGAGGCCGACGATGGCCCTCCGCGTGTGGCCACAAGGCGGTTTCAAACGCCCTCCGGTGATGTCAAAAGGCGTTTTCAGGACATCGCTTTCATGGGGTCCAATTTCTGACGCAAGACGGCCCAATGCACTCTGAGAATTTTGAATGCGAATTTAATTCCAGTAACGGCGATGGCAAGGCTGGAGTATAATTTGTAGAAAGATTTGAATATCAATATTCCTGACTTACAATAAACCCCATATAGCTAGATAATTTGTGTATGTTAACGAAACCAAACTATTTTTTATTTTACCAGGTAAGGCCCACTGAGCTATGTAACTCTTTTTCAGAAGCGACCTGGACACAAATGATAGCTCAACGAAGCGGCTTATCAAGTGGAAATGTACAGCAGCCAAGTCCTCTGAATGCATGTTTCTAAATGTGTAGGTAAAAACCGGAGGACCCGGAGAAAAATCAAAGCGACCGTGGGGAGAGAAAACATGCAAACTCCAAATATAAAGCGGGCGTCAGGGCCGGGCTCGAACCCACGACCTCCTGCATACCAGGCGAGGTAGTTAACATCTCGCTAACATGGTAGGGATACTGAGATAAATGATCGAACCGCCATGCGTGAATATCTCCTTGCGGGAGAAACAAGACAGCGCTGAATATAATAATAATGTCAGCTTGTAACGCACCGCGCGGTATTCACTCGCGTTGAAAGAGAGAGGACGACTCAGAGGCACAAGGAGGAGGAACCTCAGATGAGCTGTCAGGCCACAGCCAGCCGGTGAGCCGGATCAAGATTCTTCACCTAGCTCCGCGGTCCTTGATGTATGAATCTGAATCAGAATATTTAGTTATACTGCAGGAATCCGATGAGCTATATAGCTCTTTTTAACTACTTTGCCTGGTACACAGGAGGTCGTGGGTTCGATCCCGACCCTGACGCCTGCTGCTGTGTATTTAGAGTTTGCGTGTCTCTCTCCCCGTGGTGGCTTTTTCTCCGGATTATCCCGCTTTTCCCCTCCACATTCAGAAACATACCTTGAGAGTATTTGGCTGCTACAATTTTCCACATGATGAGCTATTTTGTTGAGCTATCGTTCGTGATGAGTTATTTTGTTGAGCTATCATTTGTGATGGGCTATTTTGTTGAGCTATCATTTGTGATGAGCTATTTTGTTGAGCTATCATTTGTGATGAGCTACTTTGTTGAGCTATCATTTGTGATGAGCTATTTTGTTGCGCTATCATTTGTGATGAGCTATTTTGTTGAGCTATCAACATTTGTGATGTCCAGTGGGTCGCTTCTGACAAAGAGCTACAGAGCTCAGTGGGCCTTACCTGGTAAAATAAAAAATAGTTTGTTTTTTTAGTTTTCTTTTTCAGAAGCGACCTGGCCACAAATTAATTACAGCTCAACAAAGTGGCTTACGATGTGGAAATTCACAGCAGCCAATTTCTGTAAAATATTTAAATCAATTAAAAGTACACATCTTTATAATCGAAACAAATTTAGAATTTTAAAGACGGAGTGAAAACTTGAGTGGGGGTTGCTGCTGGCTTAACAAATTAATTGTCTCCAGAGTCTCCGAGTCTTGGTTAGACCCCCCCGCACCCCTTAGCCGCCCACCATCGCCCTCACAGCAGCCCCGTCTAGACCACTGCGATAATTCACTGTGGGCACAATCATCAACCATCACGCTGCGGTGGCACGTTCCCATTCCCACGGGCCTGGAATAATCACACCCGCGTGTGTGTGTGTCCACGTGTGTGTGTGTGAGTGGGGAGAGGGTAGTGTAGTAGCGGTTAGCTCGATGCGCTGTGAACCCCGCTAACCCGAGTTCGATTCCCGCTCAAGGCTAATATTAGTGATGATTATGTGAACCGGTCCTGAGCCTCCCCTAGGGCGATTCAGACTTAAGTTAGGATCTGGTGGAATGTGTAAACATTTGCACTTGGGAAGACAAAATGCCTGCTGTTGTGCTGTGTCGGCCTTCAAATGCTACACGGGGGATCTTTGTCTTCGTCGCATGCGCGGACGTTGTGTAGTCTGGCCCGGTGGTTCACGCCCCCCCCTCCCGCATTCTTTAACTCCTGGGCCCATGACCAACGCCGAGCGGGCAATGTGAATGTGAACCTAGTCTGGGTCCGTCCCTCCCCACCGGTTCCACTCGGCTCACGACGGTCGCGCGCGCGGCCGTGACGAGTGGAACGTCCGGCACCTTGAGGACGACACTGCGTGAGCGGCCTAGAGGGGGGGGGGGGGGGGAGCGAGCCGTGGGGCGAGTGGGGGGCGAGTGGGGGGCGCGCCCATGAGGTTCGTAAAAAAAACCTCCTCGGGGTTTTCGCTCTGCTTGAGGTTTTGGTGATAAGGGTGCGGTCGAGCCTCGGACTTTTAGCAAGTAAATACAAACAACAACAAACAACAACAACAAACAACAAGAAGAATTTAAAACACCGCGGCTCTCCGATGTGTTTTCGGGTCGTGCCGCGTGCTGCGCGGGCACGATTTTGTCCGACGTTTCGCTCCACGTGCTGGGGCAGCTTTTTCAGGAACTGGACATGGCACGTGTGAATGAGCACTGAACGTTGTGCTGAGCTATTTCTTTATAATCTCTTTCTATTCATATCGGAATTGCACACAGTAACTGGATGTCCAAGTACGTACAAGAAGCTCACAGTGCGTGGCGCGAAACGTCGAACGTCGTGCCGAACAAGACCCCCCCGTAAACACGACGCCGAAAAGAACAGTGAACATCTTAACGGTGCTTGCTTACAATAATAATCTAACTTTATTTATTCAGGCGACTCACACTCAGCTGTAAGACTCGTGTTCAGTCGGATCCCACATTGAGTTGTGTGTTAGGATGTTTGGAACCAATAAACAACGAGTGTTCATATCACTGGGAGAATACCGGAGCGCTCCCTGCGCGTGAGGGAGCAACACAATATCCCCCGCGCAGATGTAAACAGGTGGCGACTAATCACTAATTACCAGTCCACTTGCAGCCTTCTCCTGGCCAGCCCCGTAGGGGGGGGGGGGGGTATGGCAACTCCACGATGCACCCCCTACGGGTCGGGAGTTCCACAAAGCGCGCGCGCCATTGACCCACCAACCCTGACCCCCAGGGAGATGCGGGTTACGGGACAACGTGCGTGGATAAGGCGCGCAGCTTTTGATTTGGCTGTCTGACCCGTAGGCGTCGTTGTGTACTGGGGATCGAGGTGGATCCCTTGTGGTGGGTTGAAGCGGAGTTGCGCCATCTGCTACGACTGCGCAACAATCCCGCTCCTCAGTGTTGACGAGACGCGTTTCGTCTGATTGACAGTAGCGATAGGGCCCTCCTCTCTCTCTCAGTGACAGGAATCTTTCTCTCTCAGCTACAGGGCTCTCTCTCTCTCGCTCAGCGATAGGGCTCTTCCGACTGTCTTCCAACCCCCGGTGAATGGGAACAAAGAACGGCACGAGATGCTTCATCTTAAAATATCGTGCGTAAAAATAACGTAACATTACAATTTAGAGTGAACATCAACACGTGAATTGGTAAAACGAAATATGTAAATGGTCTATTCTTACAAGGATATTATATTTAGAAGTATATTATTAAACTGTCATTGACTAGACGTACAGTAACACCTTCACTTGGTTCTGTGGACAGACTGCCCTCTCCCGCCCCCAGCCATGGGAATGTGGAATTTCCACCAGAACCCTCAGGCTAGCAGTAGTCAAAGGCAGTGATAAACGTCACTCCGACGCCTATTTCAAAATTGAGACAATTTTGCTCATTTAACGTCGAGAGACAATGCGAGTGAACGGGACACAGCCCAAATGCTCATGGAGTAGACACCATTGCACCCTGAACACGTGAATCGGAAATCGGAGGGCACGCGTGCCGCATGCTGTGAAGAATACGACACGCGGCAGTCTCACAAAGTCTCCTCGTCAAATGTGGCGGCAGGGTTTAGCGTTGTGTGGGGGGTTTAATAAATAAATAAATATTTATTTATTTTACGCGACTTCTACAAGCGAGAGGTGTCCTGCCGCCGAACGCGCTTTCTGGCACTCATCACTGTCGGTGGGTCCTCAACCACTTGGGTCGACATTCCACGTTCACGTGGCAGGGGCCAAGTGAGTCCGCTAAACAACATCTTACAAATGTGCTCACTCGCCCTTTTTTTTCTTTACAAGGGTCGCGTGGGGAGCTCTAAAGCGGCTGACAGCGCCACTCAGAAACCGCGTCTCAGGGTGCTTCAAAAAGATGTTAACACTTAAATGGGACTATCGTTTTTAATGGAAAAAATAACGGATAATAATACACTGTAACATTATAACAAATGTAACGAAGTGTGAACGTTTTTTTGAAGCACCCTGTAATATACGCAGTACAAGGGCCAGGCTAAACCCATTGCAGCAGTGACAGCCCGTCAAGCTCAGGGGAAACGTTGTCAGACAGCGAAGTGGTGAGCCCTGAACCCTGAGAAGCCGCAGTTAACGCGCGCGTTGGGGAGACACTTGCGGGGAGCGGTGGTGCAGCGGTTAGCGCGCCCGGCGACACGGGTTCGAGTCCCGCTCACGGCCAACACCGGTGACGATTATCTGAACCGGTCCTGGGCCTCCCCCTAGGTCGACTCGGCCTCAAATGAACACCGGCGACGATGATCTGTGTAAACGTCGCCACTGGGGAGACAAAGGCGGCTGAGCGCGGGTGCTGGCAACACCCACCCACTTGGTGCGCCGTGCATCGGTGCTCCCCGCTAACATCGCTTGCCCCATCCAGCCCGGCGAAGCGCCCCACGGCCGTCAGACACTCGCACACGGCAGGACTCACCGAGCGCGATCAGCACCACCACGTCCCGCATGCTGGCGGCCAGCTCGGAGGGGAAACTCTGGCGAGTGACAAACCCCTGGCTCCGGTGGCTGGAAATGAGCGTCGGCTGCCCTCCCCCCTCCTGAGAAGGGCGCGGGGCACGGGAGGAGGAGGAGGAGTGGGTGGGTGGGTGAGTGGGTGGGTGGGTGGGTGTCGCTACGGGCACAGGGGGCGGCGGGGAGCTGCCGTGAGAGTTTCGCGCTTTGCCCGGTGAGCTTCTGGGCGAGCGTTGCTCTGTCGTGACTCGACTCGCCCTCGGCACGTGAATGTGGAGTTTCCGTCACGGGCTCAGGACCCGACGGTGGCGGCCCCAAGCAAATGCATCGCGCGGCGCTTTCCGATGCGCTTCTGCGGCCGTCTGGAACGCTCCTCCCTTGCCGATGTTGGGAAGCCACTGGAGCTGTGCTGCAACTTTTAAAATCGTCATCTAGATTGACAAGCTCGATTCTTTAGAGCTGACTTGGTTGTGTTTAGTTTGTCCTTTCCCCTTCCACGCCGCACCTCCAATGAGCGCGGTTGGCTACGTACAGTGCGAAAGAAGTTCAACAACACACGTGCGTAACAGCACCCAAGCGCTTATTATCCCTGACTCGACGCCCGCCTTCGATTCCGATGTCGAGGGGAACGAACGGCGAGATGGGTGGGCACGTTCCGGCTCATTCGGCTGTGAGCCGCGTGGCTGCGTTGTTGTGGAGCGCCATCCGCTTCCCTGCCTTCAGCAACGCACGTTCACCAACGTGGTGAAGTATGGTCAGACAAGTCACCGCGTGGGGGTGGCGCCCTCGTCCAGGAGTGTGGGTTGACAACAACAACAACACCAAAATACTCTCACTCTACACACAGGCCTTGCGTTAGTGGCTACAGTTTGGGATCGTGAAGATCCTGACAACGACACACAACAGATCAACATACACAGTGCTGTATAATTGGCCACGTGCAATGCTGTACAGATCAACATACACAGTGCTGTATAATTGGCCACGTGCAATGCTGTAGCACAGTGAGGTCTCCTTCTCAGCCTGGGGTGCAAGCACCCTCTGGGGGTGCGAGACGTGGCCAGGTTATTTTTTTGAAGGTAAATAATCGAAAAGACAAATTAAGTACGGGGCACGTGAAGTACAACTTACTTTGTTTCATCAAAACCTATGTGTGTATTAACATGCTAAGGGGTGCAAGGTTAGAATGCAGTAAAGGTGAAGAACCACAGTGCTAGAGGACTCTGGTAAACCCTGCCAACTAAAGCCGGAGCATGACCGTGTGTGCGTGCTACTGCCAACTGGGTGCCGACATTACCACGGGCGGAGCCAGGATGTTCAGCCCGGGGTGACATTCAACAAATGTTAATTTCAAGAATGATTAGAGCGATTTTGCTGTGACTGGTCCCACCTGAAGACGGAAGCTTGCTTTGCCTCCGAAACGTCGTGTTTTAATTGTTTCTTTCATTTTATTTCAATTTATTTTAATTTGTTTTACCTACGTGACTTTACCGAATAGAACCAAAGAGTATGAATCCTTGCAGTCACGAAAGCTTCAAATCTAGAATGATTAGAGAGTTAGGCTGTTGAACTAGACGCCATCGGTTTGGCGAAACACTTTAACAGTGCAGTTGCACGGAGTCCGCCAGACCGAGTGTCGTACACTTATACGCAGAATGTTTCAGATTTTTTTTTATATTTTTTCGGGGGTGACAATTTTCTACCCTGTCACCCCCCTGGCTCCGCCCCTGGACATTACCATCGTTTTGACTTCCACTTATCTTGAAGCTTTACAGATCGTATACATCACAGAACATCGAACTCAGAACTGAAATCACCAAGCTCAGTAACAACGAAGAGTGGTTGGCATTAGACATGGGTGGTGGTAAAGCAATAAAGGAAATAAATTTAATCTACAAAAAAGCCCCCACCCCCTCAATATAAATCAGTACCGGGCCCCTCACAATAAAGAAACGTGCGTTTAGATTATTGCGATTATTTTGCTGCTGTAAATTTCCAAATGATAAAAGACGTTTTGTTGAGCGATCAGTTGTAGCCAAGGTCGCTTCTGAAACATAAGCGAACTGCTCAATGGGATTTTACCTGTTAAGATAAAAAAAACCTTTAGTTTTATTTGTAGATGTGTTTTTTATTGAGTGATTTGTTTAGCTTTGCTATACTTTGCACTCCTATCGTGTTTTTGTTCTGTTTGTTGTTGTAACGTTCTGACCCGCCCCCTACTGGACATCTGTGGAAAAAAGAGCTTTATAGCTCATCGGATTCCTCCTGATTAATTCTGCCCCCCTTCTATACAATCTTGAAGCTGCCAACGGAGCCGGACATGTCCCAAGACTTGGCTTGAGTAGGCAATGCGTATTTCACTTGTGACAGCAGCCACGGCGCACATGCACGCATGCCTGTGATCCAATGATGGTGGAGGCAGGGTCGGTGGATCACACAGAGATGATGCTCACGAGGCACACGTTCACGGGGTAATGAGGTGGCTAGCTGTGGGAGGCGGGACACAGCAAGTAGGCTCGTGGCAGTGTACCTGAGTGGAGTTTGAGTCTCACCCTCTTGCAGACATTGTATGTACCTTTCCTCTGGGCAATCCAGTTCCTCCCACGTGTGTTACATAAGTACAAATGTTCAGCCCCTTTATTAATTCCACTGCTGGATGAAGACATCTCACATCGTGTCGGTCCGGCCATACTTAACCACGCTGTTCAGTGCGGGGTAGACTGATCTATATTCTAAACTGTTTTATTTTACCAGGTAAGGTCCACTGATCTATATGGCTCTTTTTCAGAGGCGACCTGGCCGCATATTATTGCTCAACGAAGTGGGTTATCGCGTGGAAATGTATAGATGCCAAATACTCTAAACGCTGCAGATACTCTAAACGCACGTTTCTAAATGTGGAGGGAAAACTGGAGGACCCGGAGAAAAATCCATGCAAACCACGGCGAGAACACGCAAACTCCAAAATATACAGGCGTCAGGGTCGGGATCGGGATCGAATCCACGACCTCCTGTATAGCAGGCGAGGTAGTTAACATCTCGCCACCATGGGTTGGTGAAGGGATGGGCCCAGGACTGGTTCAGATATCACTCCCCACTGACATTGGCCATACTTGGCAATAGCCCCACTCAGTCATCCCACACCATTCACAACATGCATCGAATACTGCAAGAGGGCTTTGGTCAAACATACCAAAGTAGTGCCCTCATGCCAATGTGACTCACTGATATTTTTTTTATTTGGAGACGTATACATATGCTATCAGTGCTACTCGAGGATACGCCTGGCCCTGCCATGAAAATTTAATTTCCATCACTGGCTCGGGACCAGCAGAGGATGTGACAATTGTCCAACGCCCATTGGAATTTGATGTCACAATCAGGAAAGTGAAAAGCCTTCCCAGCTCAAATGAGTAATAAGGCAGTGCCATCCCCATGGGTAGCCATGAAGCGTGGTGAAAATTCCACACTCTCATAGCCCAGGTCATTATCTCCATAGATGACCACTGTTCACTGGTACTAATCCTATTGATCCCAGAATAATGACACGTCGACTGATTTAAGTATACAGGTTGCTGTTTGTATGCGTGCGACTTTTTGCGCAAAAATTATGTTTTGTATGCTTTATGTGCCTTTCTATTCTATTGTGGCCATTGTCCCATCTTACGTGTTTGTTTATACCACTGCGTTTACCAGTTTCTCTCGATTGGTGAAAATTATTGAGAGGAATAAAAAAAAATTGCGTGCGCAACATTTAGAAAGGGCAAACCTCCGTCTGCGTTGGTAAGAGGAATGTGTCTCCAACTGGCCAGCAGGTTCCTGCACGAGCACTGTAGTGGTTCTACAGGATGCCTCTATCCCAAGAGGCCACCTGAGCCAGCACCCTGGACAGGAGGCATCGGACTCATCAGATTTACCTGCATCCCTCTACTGACGTTCATCTTCGGTAAGTCACCACTGCCATTCCTCGCCTCCAACCTGGGACTCACACAACTTCCCACACCTCACCGACATGCTCCCACGCCGCATTCATTTCTTCAGAAGAAAGAAGACGACCGCCTGTGTTGCGATCGAAACGTCGTAGTTTTTTGTTATTTTATTTTAACCTATCTACTTGACTTTACCGAAAGACCCAAGAATAAGAAAGAGACAGTTTCCTGCCCTGACTGGAGAACCCTTCACCCCTCATAGTGACTGGAGTCAGAACATGCCCAGCGGACATCCCGCATTCCAAAGAGATCCAGGCGGTACTGGTCCAGCTGCGGACAGAAGTGTGGCAGCCTCTCCTCCGCAGCGACCGTTCCATGTGGCCACCAACAGTGGTTTCTGCTGGTTCTGGAGGAACCCCAAAGGGAAAGGGGGTCTCAGTCTCCTGGCTCTGCTAAAAGAGGTTTGGCCAGGAGACATCATAGACACCTGCTTCCCTGGGGCCTCCGGCACAGGCTTAGTTTAATCTGTTTCATGTATTTTTGTGGTAATTGAATTGAAGGTGGAGGGGTTACCAGCCCCTCGCACCCGTAACTCCTGTTATCCATCGGCGTTGTAGGGTCCCAAAACTCTTGCTATTCATGCCCCTCTTCTCTTTGTCATCTATAGTTAATTATCCACGGTGTTCCCCCATTATACTCTGAGGAATGACTTCCTACTATCCACAATATTCTACAAATAAGTGGAGTCGCACTACAAATGCATCCCATTACCCGCAGGGTCATTTGCGTGTCTTGACAGGTCATACCTCATATTGTCTGTGATTATTTGTCGATAAATCTAATCGATTGGAAAGAGCATCCAATTATCCGCGAATTAAACAAATAAATGCATATACTGTATATTGTGTGGGATGTGAGCGTCGCTGGTAGACCATCATGTAATGCCCTTCCCGAGTGGCCCTGAGCATGTAAGTATGTTGGGGTCCTGCGGTGGTGAGATGTTGACTACCTCACCTGGTGTGCAGGAGGTCGTGGGTTCGATCCCGACCCTGACGCCTGCTGCTGTATATTTGGAGTTTGCGTGTCTCTCTCCCCGTGGCCGCGTGGATTTTTCTCCGGATCCTCCGGGTTTTCTCTCCACATTTAGAATCAACATCACATGTTT